TTAAAGTGCCTATCACCCTTCTGACGATATTCTCAGTACTGATTCTACATGGGGTAAGATGTTGAATAACCCGAAAAAAATACATAGTTTGAGTGCGGCATTTTGAAGTTATAAAGGTTTTTCCACGCCATATGCTAATGCTGTGACGTAATTTTGCTTCCAAGACGCATGAAAACAATGTTTCCCGATGTTTCCTGACAGTTTTGCCACCTTAGGAAACATTTAAGGAAGCATGTTTCCTCGTTAAGCCAGGGCCTTACAAATCTGAACCTTATCGATTTCATTCTCGGCTTCTTTTATTAAATCAACTCAGACTTATTAAAGGTAACTGGTTCTTTTTTATGTCGAAAAATTCTGTCAATTTATTTAGACTAAAGTTTAACTAAAGTCCAAGCCTTGCATCGCGACGCACTAGTTTGCGAAAGAGAAGACAGGATACATTGGTTTTGGAATAATTTTGGCCACGCTAGTGGCAAGTTTAATAATCAATAAACATATATAATCGTACAAAATACCAAAACCCAAAGAAGCCATGTCTTTGGCAAAGGTGGGGCGAGAATAACTACCACACTTAGAATAACTAAATACGATAATCCAACGAAACAATGGTTTGAAGTCAAGGTTGAACTTGATAAATAAAAGAATCAAGTTCAGTCTCGACTTCAAACCATTGTTTCGTGGTCAGTCAAGCGAATTCGGGATAGGTCTATTGGAATCAAGTCTGGTCCGTATTGTATAATTCCGACCGCTCAGGAAGTCCATCAGATTACTTCATTTCATCTGGGTTTCAAAATTGTATTCTTTTGCTCCGGTCAAAAGAGGCTTTTCAGATAGAAAACACTATATCTTCTTTTGATAGTAAACAAGAAAAAGAAGGGGAAAAAAAAAAAAAACACACAAAGCTAGGCTTTAACGAGTTCTCCTTCTCCTTTTATTTGAACTACAGGAGTTTGCTGGTAACGCTGACTGTGAAACTGTAGTACTGAACCGGCTAACAGACAAGATTTTGACTCGTTTCATCAGATTTCTGGTTCTTGAATGGCATGATCATATTGCCATGGGAGTAGAAGTTTATGGATGCCTGCCGGCGTCAGAATGATGTCCCAACTGAACTCGACTAAGGGACGGGGCTGCAAATTTCGATCATTTATTTGGATTTTATTGAAAATATTACCTACTGCATATTTCAGTTTCTTTTATTTCATTCCAATCTTAGGTTATCCCCATGGGGAATAAAGCGACGTCTTCGTAAAAAAAGTTAACTGCGAGGCCCCTGATAAAAATTACATCATTCAACATGGGCAGAAGTTGTGGTAGTTGCCACCGACACATTTGAAACATATAACAATCTTAGTTTCTCTGACAAGCGGTTTCCTGGATCGCTAAAGGATTTCTGGACTCCTTGTTTAATTAACACCCCTGAAATCGCCCGTATTAAAACCACATACAGAAAAATACTATTCAACAATTACTGAATTACACCTTTCTACGCGCGTGGTATTATTTTTGGCAACTTTTTTCAGGTTATGAGGGAAGATTTTCGTATAAAGTTTTTAAAAGCACAAATATGTGTAAACCATTAAAAACAAAGTTTACGGTTTTTGGCTATTGGTGTTCTGGTTTTTCAGTGAATAAAATACGCACGCCCAATAACTCAGAAGATCGCTCATTCTCCTCTACTTTCACATCCCCATAATTATAATGCCTTGCGTCTTTGGGGGGTAACCAATCAAAAAACTGTCCCA